TAAAGCTGGTATGCAATGTGAAAGCTGCCTTGTTTTTCAGTAAAGTGCTGCTGTTAATATTTGTCATTCAGGCTGGAGAAGCGAATAGAAGACATGGAAACTGCGAGGCATGAACAGATCAAAGAGTTGCAAAACCAGAAGCGCGAAACGGAGGAACTCTACCAGAAACGCCTGGAAGATGCGGAGAAACGTCTGCAGGACGCCGTCGAAGCACATCAAGTTGAGATTGCAAAGTTCGAAGCAACGTTGAGGGAGAAGACGTCGGAGCCCAAGAGGGAACTTGAAGAATTGCGGAAGTCCAGCGCAGAAATGACAGCCTCTCACATTGAGCAATGTGAAAAGCTGAATAAGAAGGTAAGGGCCTGTGCCATAGTTGGAAATATAATCGCTTATAAGATTATATGCTCAGGGAAGCGGTTACAGTATCCCAATTACGTGGGAAATTAAATTGTGAGCGTGAGAGCACACAAGTGGGGCACGCCATAAGATGAAGCGAGGTCAAGGTGAACAGGGTGAGATACCAGTTATCTCAGTCACATCGCTGCTCAACTTCCTGGCCTCTCCGGAGGCTTGCTCTTTACGGCTGGGTGGGGCGTGGCGTCCAGTTTGAGTGGGATTCACGACCTGACACATTTTGATTTCCGCTGCCGTTTGCGGGAAAGTACAATGGTGACACCTGCTGATTACTCAACTTCTACGGTCTGGTTTCTCATTTGCGGCCCAATACTTCCCTTCCGGCTTCGAACAGATATGTTCTGCGGAATTTAGTTCGGGGGCATTCCTCGGCTCACGGTATGCCCAGTTGTTGGCGCGCACGACTCACACAATTTCACTCTCCATTGTCGGAGGGTACAGTAAACACCCTGTTTTCCTGGCCTGTAATCTTATTGAGCGCGCGCCCCTCCCCCCCCCCCACTTCAATCGATAAACAACAATGTATGGAGGGATTCAGCCCTTACGTCTGTTTCCTTTTTTCGCTTTTTTTCTATTTCACACCGTTTTGGCAGAGAGAAAGGTGGCGGAGATACGGAATTCCGGTCCGATCAAGCGCTGCAAGTCTTTAAATTAAGGTGATGTTGTGACAAGTAGCCTGCTGAGCAGGCGCTCAGGTCATTTTTGACAGGGCCCACTCCGGGTGATCCACGTCCTCTGGGTTGGTTGATTGGAACCAACCTTGATTGGGAGCGATAGGCACGAAGTTGCTCATTGTATAAGGCAGAGGTTTTTGAAAGGCACCAAAATTTTGAATGAAAATGGAATGCGCGGCGCATTCGGAGTTGCTCATCGTCGAAGCTGTCCCAGTCAGATTAGGGTCAGATTAGGAAAACTACTTTTTTACTTATTTGGAACGAGTTCTTGTTGGAAGAAGTTTTGGGTTGCCAGTTGAAACGCTCAGATACAGAAGAATTTCCTCACGGGAATATTTTGATGCTGAAATCTTTCTCACGGAGATGGCTGTGCTTTTCCGTTTTTCGTTCTCTCTTTCGAATCCCCGTTCTGTTCCGATTTACGAGTTCCGAATTTTCGAACAACATTACCTGGTATGTAAAGCGTTTGGCCCACTAACAACTTCACTAATCTTACTTCCGTTCGTTTCGACTGTTCTTTAGAGCCAAAATGATATCATTAAGATCGCCGACTTGGAAAACCGTTTGAGTCAAGCATCGAAAAACAATGCCGAAATGGTGGAGAACATGCGTGGTATGACGGCCCTTTTGGAGACAGAGGCAAAGAAACGCGAAGAGCTGACAGAGGAGCGGAAGAAATGGTTGGCAGAGTTGAATGAGAAAGAGCGACTTCTCGATGAAGCTCGCAATACCACCGAGGACGATGCTAAGGTAGGCGGACTAAATTTTTATTACCCTTATACCCTTCTGACTGTGGATGAAACTGAGGGGCCCTTTTCTCCGTGAATATTTGGCAAATCACGTTCACCTTTATGTGAAGCTTTTGTATGGATGAGGATGGTGTAATAGGACAGCGTTCAGACTTCGCGATGACGCGCATCGACGCGCTGTAATGCGCTACAGTCTCAATAGCACTCGCAGTTCTATAGAGACGAACGCAGCTGCAGACGGAAATCGATTGGCGCTGCTCGTGTATTGAGAGAGTATGGGGAAAATGGAGGGTACGAGTTGCGTACTCACGCAGTCTAGTATCGATCGGCACTGGCCGTCATGGCGGGACCGATCGATTCTCGTCTGCGGCTGCGTTGGCGTCTATAGGATTGGAGCGCTGTTCCAGTTGTAGCGCGTTACAGCGCGTCATCGCGCGTCGACGCGATCTCTGAATGCTGCCTAAGATGCCAACTTTCACATGATATTGATCTATCACTGCTAGATTTTGACCTTAGTATTCAGTAATGGTAAAAAATCATCTGGGTTAGCGCGTTTGGCTGTTAACTTCATCAACTGACACTTCCAAGGACTTGGATGGACTGTTCATCCCCCGTGACAAAACATTCGAAAATCGCTTAGTGGGGGTGCTTTTTGCCACGAGTGCCAACTGTCTCCTTCAATGTACAAATGCACATCCCGGAGAAGGGGAGGGCGTGGCTGCGTCTGTCATTTGAAAAGTGAACGGTGACTACGAGACAGCTGTAATCATTTCTTGAGGGCATGGCTGCGTTGTCAGTTGACGTGGGAGATCACGCTCGCCAGTAGTGTTTTCGTCCGGAACAATATGTAAACACTTCATTCGCCCAGCAACGAATAGAGGATGACCTTGTGTCTTTGGAATAAGCCTATGCATTTTTCGGCATGTTCAAATTGGAGTACGCAGCCACGGCCTCTCGCCTCTCCGGGGTTATGGAGCGCAGTAAGGTCAGATGCGATCAGGAGTACATAAAATGCTAAAAAAAAGGCGGTTGCTAGCGGTGCTCTACAGAAGATTGTCCAAAGGATCACTTGCATACTTCATGACACTGACATCTGTATCCAGTACAAGCCGTGTGCTGAGAACTTCTCTGGGATAGGTCTGGAGAGGGTCCTATTTTGTGGATGTGATGTACGGGTCATATTCAAGAACATTTTTCACTTCGCTAGTAGGACATCCGTCTGTAGCTCTTAGGTTCATGAACCTGAAAGCTTTTAGGTACATAATGAAATCTGTTGCGGCACCGGGGTTATTCCATTCATAGCGATCAATTCAGATCAGCGCTTTGGCTGCCGAAAACGTTCGCTTGGCTAGTGAAGTTCTCAAGGCTCACTCACAGGCTGAGCAAACACTGCAAGTTGAGAAGGAGCTGATTACGAAACAGTTCAATGAAAAACTCAAAACGTAAGTACAGTTGAAACTGAAGCTACCTTTTTTGCCTGCCTGAGTTTCAGCTGACATCGAAGCTTCAAGTTCCAAAGGTTTCAGGGCAACCAACGAACGCGACAAGTTGGCAAGTGATCTCGAAGCTTTGAGGGCAAAAATGAAAGTGATGGAGTCCAGGATCGAAGATCAGCGCTCATCTCTTGAACAGGCAGAGAAGATGTGTGTGAATTGCTCATTAAGCATTGTATTGTATTTGATTAGATTTATATATTATCTTAATAGCTATGATCTTTCATAAGATCATGTACCAAAGAAATTTGAAGGGGGGGGGGGTCATTTCAAAAGGTTGCCTTGTTTCAGTTCCGCACCTGCCCTTGGACGGAAACTTATGTTTTATTGTAAGCTGAAAATGCTCTTCTCATTGCTGCAGGAACTGCTGGCGCTGCTGTTGTCTGAATCGGTGAGCGCGGAGGGACAGTGCTGGTGCCAAGCTGGCAGCAGCGGCAGCACATACTTCTGGCCGTCTGCCGCTCTTTGCAGTCGAGCTTGCGAGCTGTTTTCTTGCTTGGTGGACTCTCCACTCATATAGCGTCATTCACTTGACGTGAACTTTAGACCGCTACTTAACACGGCTATCTACCGTAACCGTTCCTTTTGCACCTTCGCCGCACTGACCTCTGCACTATTCTGCATGTACTCATCGGGCTATCGTCGAGGAGAAATCCCATGGGGTATGCATCATTCGTAAGAGGCGACGAGGCGCTGGCCAGTCTTCGATGGAAAAGATTCAGCCGCAGAGAACTTCTTCGGTTGTACAAAGGTTTCCCCAATTTTTGCCCCTGTTCATATGCGCACATCCCCCCTCCCCCGCACGACGTCACATTTGAAAGAAAAAGCTGGAGGTTTTTCAAGGAAGGTCGTGCGGAAAGAAAGATGTTTAGTGGACGAACAGAGGAGGGCAGCTGTTACTAGCCGTGACTACGCCACGTGGATGGTAGGTAGGATGAAAAGAGGAGGGAGCTGTACTACTGACACCGCCACTTAACACAATCACTGTGCTGTGCCCTGTAGGAACTACATCCTTGTGAGAGAAACCAACCTCCACTTTGATCAGAAGCCTTGGAGAAGCAGGTCTAGTTGCGACGCCGCTTGCCCCCTCCAACTATAGGTGCCATAAAGGTTGATTTTAAATACCAAACTGATTTTGGTAAAACCGTTTTGTCTTGAGGCAAATATTGCCTTGAATAACATTAGCTGGCTTATTAGTTGGCTCTGTGAATATACTCATTCGTATTTATTTTACTCATTCAGCTTACTCGTTTTTACTTTTCAAATCCATGAAGTACCTTTTCGGACTAACATTATTTTACCCATTATAAGATTCTCATTAACTTTGATTCAGTCAACCCAAAAACTGAGAATTTGGTCAGTTTCAGTCGAAAAGACGAACTCTCCTCAATTCAAGCTGAACTTGATGCGGTCCGTAAAGAGAAGACGATACTCAAAGAAGATCTGGAGAAGTGAGCCAATTTATGTGATACTAGTTTCTTAAACGATAATAACCTCGGAGGGGCATATGAAGGACTCCTTGTGCAAAACTAGACCCATCGTAATACTAATAAGGTCTTCTGCTTCAGCTTAAAATGGAAAGAAGCCTTAGGTGAACCCATTCCAAGTAGTGGCAGTGCCATTCGCATTACAGCAATCCTAGTTTTGACAAAGAGTCCTTCAAATGCTCCCTTTCAAGATTATTAGCTGTGGGCCAGGAGATCCGAGTTGCGGCGATACGCAGAAACAAGCTGAAAACTAGACGTGGGAACTCCACCAGTTGTCGCTCTGCCGAATAAATGTGCACGTGACGCCATTGCGTTTCGCGCGCCCGCGCGCACACCTGGATCTCCTGACCCTTTTCGGGTGCTATGTTTCTTAGTTCCAACATTTCCCTAGTTTTCTTAGCTTCTTCGGTTCTTGTGCCCCGAATTTCTGTGGCTTCTCGGGATCATGTGTTTTGGTGTTTTGCGAAATAATTATTTTAAGCTTTTGTTCTCTTTCGGGCGTCGTCTTGATATGCATAGAAAACCTTTTCAGTTCAAAAAAAAAGTTAGGGCTCGTTCAAGTTGTTGGAGGCTTTTGCCGCAATCTTGCGGCACCCTCCTGAGTGCCTGTGCCCCTTACATCCTCTTGCTACGTAGTTCTGGACCCACTGACATAGCCGTTGAAACTGAGAAAACGTGGAAAAATGTAAAAGGATTGATTGATCATTACCGTAACGACGGTGGAGTGTGCTGAGAGTTTTCAGCATTCGCAGTAATAATAATGGGCATCCGGTACCGCCACCACGACGGACCATTTCGAACATGTCCTCCTATACCTACAACACCCAAACGGACTTCAGTGAAATTGAGGACGTTCACAAACTACGAAGTGAAATTGATAAGTAAGTCATGTTCATATACGTAGAAACACTCAGAAAAACGACGGGACTGTCTTCGGGCTTGTGGTTTAGCATAGGCCAGAAAAGGGGAAGAGGAAACGGGGTGGGGGGGGGAGAGGTGAAGAAAGTTATTCAGCTCACAAATGGTTCTGTTGTTGGTTTCTCTTACTCATTATTGGTGTGGTTTTGGCTAATGGTCTGAGCATTTCTTTGGTCTCCCAGTAGACGATAGCTTCTTCCACTGACCATGAGTGACCACAGGGACGTGCCTGAAGCGCGTGTCCTGAAAGATATCCCTCAGGGATCCCAGAGCAGTGGTGGAGAAACTGATAGTTTATTACGGCCCTCTTCCTGACACTAATGCCTCGACTACGACGTTCTCGAACTAAAAAACTGAGCTTAGCTTTTCCTTGACTTCCAGTTTCAGGAGAAGTTGCCGTTTGGGAGTAAGGGTAGAGAGGAAGTAAGAAGGTGCGGTGAAGAAAAATTTTTTCTTTCGAAAATTTCCCTACCTTCCCATATGAGTGCATACCCTCCTTTCCCGGCCATTCGAATATAACTCCTACCGCTGGAAGTTCCTCATCCACGTGGCTGATCAAGAAGTAACGATAACAATAACACACGCTGATGAAGACCATGGACTGGGGGATCTGGTAAATTAGCTCACGATTGACTTACGGATAAGTAATTTGCGAGTTGTTGTTGAGTTTTGCTTTTTCCGTTTGGGATGGGAGCTTTTTTGTTATTCTTTTCATCAAAGTTTTCTTTTCTTTGCTATTCTACCTTTTGCGTTTGATGCGGGAAGGATAGCTAATAATGTTCCGTAACAATAGGTTACGGAAGATTGTGAAGCCTAGGTTTTACTATTTTTTTCGTTTTTTCTATTTTCGCCTTTACTACTTTTGCTTTTTGATTTTTTTTGCTTTTTTTATATAGGATTCAGTTTGCCACCATGGTTTCCAATGGAGGTATAATGCGAGACGCATCGCCGACAGACTGACTAGGCTTTTTGTCCCTTCCTTCTCTAACTGGTATCATTAAGGCAGTGCATGAAACCTTAGCTGTGCCACTGTGTGACACTTCAGAAGTACTTGTTAACTAGCACTACGGTAGCTCCCTTCCCTAAGAGACTTGAGTGTTCACTTCGTTAGAAAGTTTTCCCAGTGGACTCACTCTTGAGAAGCCACTTAATAATAGGAATAATAGAGAGTGGTAGACGATGTTTGCCTTTGGATGTCATACAGCGCTAACTCAAGAACTATTGTGCCCTGTAATTAGTTAGTGGACTAGCTGACTGCTCACGCTGTGTACAGGTCCCTACTCATATCTCACTACTTCCCCCCTTGACGATGTTTGCCGAGGTGTTTCGCGCGCTCCACCACAACTTTCGACCCAGGTCATAGGTCAATGACCGAAGCTCTAGAGTACCTCGTAGAGATCGCTTTGGGTGAGTTACCAGTGACAAGACTTGCAGGCTCGAAGTTGAGCGCGCAGGCGAACATAAATGCTACCGTATCCACAAAATGCTCTCTACCTGTGATCGCCTCCTTTTTGAGCGGTCCATTCTAGTACCGCAGGTCGCCCAGTTTTTTCACAAATTCCTGGAATTTACGATAGACTAGTATAGGAACCTCTTCAGCTGAACTTAAAATCCTCAACCTCCGCCCTAGAGGTTCCTATACCAGTCTCGCCTTAGAGCCCCAAAGGTGACCCATCAGAGCCTTCGCGCTCTATTCAAGCTGCGATGGAATGTGGAGCATATAGGAGCAATTTCTCTATACCGTCCGCATTTCTAGCCCTCATTGAAATTCAAGATAAATACACTTTTTCATGGTTTTTCTACCAGAAAACCCAGCTGGGGTATGACTCTTCTACGGCTTTGCCCGAGAATGCTAAAGCACCGGAGTAGGTGTCACGTAGCATTTGTGGAGAGCCTTCTCTTCCGGTGAAGCTCCGAAGGCACCTGGGCCAGCGAGGACAGCACTGGGTTGGTTTGGGTGGACGAAACCACCGCTTCGACCCTTGTGATATCTTTTAACGCAAGGCAAACGAGAAGGCTCCGAAACTTTTAGTTAGGCTGACTTTGAGCGATTTGCCCTCTGGCGTTAGTAAGCCTTACCATCAAAGAGTTCGGAGGAGCAAGCTATCGGATCAGCATTTCTCCTATAGCCTGGTCCAGCTGGCACCTACGGTGCAGCTCCGAAGGCGTGAACATTTCCATTACAGGAATTTCCTTAAGAATAACTAAAGTATGTCGAGTTAACGGCTGGGAAGGGAAATGATTGCTCGTTTGTGCGCGTCATGGCAGCGGGAATCTCCTGACACCCGAAACGGTATTTGAAGACAGCTTAGTCACGTTTTATATCAGTGAACTTCTCCTCCCTTCACCTGCTAAAATCTCATTTCCAACAGCTTTTCCTCCGTTGCCTGTCCCCGACTGCAGCTTGTTTTCCTAGGCAGCGTTTTTTCGCGCATCAGCCACGTTCGCGACAGGCACTAATTGGTCGCAAAGCGTTTTTGCGCCGTGGTTTTTCTACCGTAGTTTGACGTGGTGCCGGCTGTTTCCCACGGGACAATACCCGAGGGAGCGCGAGTGACGGCGGTAGTGTTGTGCGGAAAAACCGGCTCAGTGCTGCGATCGACAACGGAAACGCCGGCAGATTAGTCGAGTCACGCACAAGACCAGTTACCATGCATCTAAGGAGCAGTAGATGGTTTGCTCTCAGGAACTGTGTGGGTCCCATCAATCCCATCTGCAGGACAGAAAGCTCATGTCGTTGATCGACTCCTTTCTGGATCGCGCCAGGCATTCTACTTCCTCTCAGGTTCGCCGTTACATTGGCGAGATAACCCGAACACTGACTCGCGAAAAGTAGCCGATGTAAAAAGCCGTACCTAAGTGCGATTCTATGAATCTTGGCCCGCCCTCTATATAAATCAGCGAATTGGTTCACCTTTGCATTGAGATTGTTAATCAGTTTTATTCGACTGACGTGCCGGTGCTGTCGCCTTCTTCAAAGCCTGGAGAGTCCAAAAGCTCCAAAAGCTGCTCCTCCAACCGCCTGGAAAGAAAGTTCAAAAATTGTCATGAACTGCTGTGATGACATCATGAAAACTGTAAGAACCAACCTTGTAGGACTATCTTTCTGTCACCAGCTCATTGACTTGTACGAATCAATGGCCCGGTTCCAATTAACCTGTCTGGAGGGATCGAAATCTTGGTTGACTAGGTTGAGAGGTACAAAATCTTCAGTTGATTCTGCAGAAAGTCCGCAATCTGCAGTCTTACTACTTCTATTTGTTAATCCTGTAATTCTGTAAACTGCTGTGAACGTGCGACATTGTTCATTAAGCCA